ACTTTTGGCAGTGGATGGGGATCTGTTTGGGCAGCCTGACTGGTCTTTGGCTGAGCTCCATACACAATCAGCTGCAACGCACTGACATTGTTCTATCAGAGCCAGCATCATCTTTTACAGCCATCTGAGCTGCAGTAGCATCTGTTCGATCAGACCACACGGGTCAGCCTTCTCTCCCCATGTGCATCAGTGAGTTCACCATGGCTCCTTCCTTTACCACATTTGATAGATGTTGACCTCTGCAGATCAAGAACACCCCACAACAGCTGCAGTTTTTGAAGATGCTCTGACGTCCTGCCATCATAATTTCGCCCTTGTCAGACTCAATGTTTAAAATCCTCATTCCCATTTTTCCTGCCTCTAACATTCTTCCTGCTTCGATGTATCATGTGTCAGTATATCGAGTTAGATATTTTCCTCGGGGGAGGGTTTTGAGTAAACTAGAATTAAAAGAGAACAATTATCAACTGCCTGGAAATATGACTCCAAACAAAAAGTATTTCTGTCTGGTGAGTGCATAACTAGACACTTGATATGATAATGGTGTTTGTAGCTATTTGCACTGCTACTAAGTGGCAGGATAGTTTAGTAATATTCTCCAACACTGAATTCACAGGTTGTTTTCACACAGTTTCCATCAGTGACTATGTGTCAATAACAGATAAGTTCAAAATCGTGCAGATGACACTTCCAAGTTAAGGATTGTTGTGCTATTCCATCCACATTTCCAAATTTAAAACAACACCTTTATAGTGCAGCTGAAGCCATGACAGGCAGCTTTTGTCGTACTGTCTACAGGTCGTTTTCCTTTTTGTTTCGTTAGGTGGTTTGTCTGCTGCACAGGCTTTTAGTTGTGGTTTGTTCCATGCATGAAAGGTGAAAATGGCTTTTTACCCAGTTTGCAGCTCCTCACCGTCAGTCAGTGCCTTTGATAATTCCAACCAACAGCAGCTGTGCAAACCTATTTTATTATGACACTCTGAATATTTGTTATACTTTTTTTGGCCTCTCACTAATCAAACAAAACAATTGAGAGGCATGATTGATTTAAGTGGCTGAAATCTGTTTTGAATTCCTGGATTAGATATTATAAAGGATCCCACGAAAATAATGTTTTTTCATTGGCACACGGTGTTCAGTAGCCCCTTTAAATCTTGATTAATGTCTGGGTCTATGGAAGCATCGTATCACGTAACATCTTCATCTCCTTAACAGAAGATTCTGTTATTCTCTTTTGTGTCTCCTCCTTCTTGTGACTGATGCTGATTACTGTTATTATTCTCTGTCAGCTGTGTATGACACATCTTGACACGTTTGACTTTTAAAGCTGTAGAGTTCGACCTACTTTCATTGTCATTTTTGAAGAAACTCTAAATTCCACAATGTCTTATTTTGGATTAGCTTTCTTGAGAACTGTAATTTTATGAGGATGAACTGTGACCACCTTCACAGGATTATATAGATTGATTTTTCTGTGACAACGCCGAGCTGGCTCACTGTTCTCATGGGAGTGGGAGTGTTAAAGCCCTGAATGCTGTTACTGTGAGAAAGTTAAAGAATCCAAGATCATTTTAAGGGAAGTGTTGAAAATATAATATTCACATGAAAGCACATTTCTGAGCTGAGAAACAGAATAGTTGAAGTGGTTCAAAAGATATTACCTGTTGCAGAAAGGCGACAAATTTGCACATGAAGTTGCCAAAGATCCATCCAGGGAGGGGGTAAAGGGTGGCGGTGAAGGGGACGCAGCACACCAAGAAGATGATGTCAGTGGCGGCCAGGTTTGCTGCACAGGGAGAAAAGGTGACGCTGTGTTTGATGAATGTTGTACAGTCTGCAGAACAGTGTTTAACTGAAAACGCTTGAAGCCAGTGGCATGGATTCTTCAACAATCCTGGAAAAAGCAGAAGGACTTCTAACTATCATCCCACCTTTCTTCTTTTGCATAACAAGTCTTTTTAAACCATCTGTGGGACAATGGATATGGAGGCACGCAGTCCTGTTTGCAGTAACATCAACTACTAGGAACTAACAGCAGCGTTGTAAAGTTTAGTGCAATCTAATGCAAGTTTGCAGACTCGCAGGCGTGTACAGTCATGGCCATCCAAAAAGGAAAAGTTTTCATAGTCCTGTAAACATCCTGATAAAACTAAGTACATCCTTACTGCTTGCATAGGAATTAAGAGGATAAGCAGCAACCAGGTGCTGCTATTCAACACTCACTTGATTAAGTGATCATCAGGACGTGTGACAACCTCTATAAAAGCTGTGTGCCAATCTGAAGCGTCAGGCTGTGTTGCCAGGAGTGTGCACCACAGCAAACTCACCCCAAGGTCAGATTGCATAAGAAAACCCAAGAACTACATCTTGAACTCAGTTAGCATTTTAAATGTTAAAGCCCATGACAATACAATTAGAAAAATACTGCCTAGATTCGAGTTGTTTTGAAGGACTGCCAGATGAAAGCATCTTCTCTACAAAAAGTATCTGAAGAAACTAGACTTCTGGAATAACATCCTTTGGACAGACAACACCAAAGATGCACAGGGCCACATCTTCATGCATCAGCACAAATACCTTATTCCAATTATGAAGGATGGTGATTATATGGGCTTGTTTTGCAGCTACGGGACCTGGGTACCTTGCAGTCATTGAGTCAGTCATGAACTCCTCTGTATGCCAAAGTATTCTAGAGTCAAACACAAAGTCAACTGTCTGACAGCTAAAGCTTGGCTAAAATTTGGTCATGCAACAGGATCCACCACCATGAAATCATGAAATGCGGTGGAGGGGCTTTAAGAGAGCTGTGCATAAACAAATACATGCAAACCTCAATGAATTGAAGTAACGCTGCAAACATGAGTGAGCTAAAATTCCTCCACAATCATGTGAGAGATTTATAAAGAAAATTAATACTTCAATTTATTGCTACTAAAGGTGGTTCCACAGGTTACAAATATGGGGTGTGTTTAGTTTTTCACAGGACTTCACAGACTCCAGTGAAAACTTTCTTTTTCACATGACCGCATGAAAATACAGCTATTATAAAGGTTGTAGTGCTTTGAGTGAAGTGTTTAGTGTCCTCTTTGGGGTTTTGCTGTATTGAGTCATTAAAAAATGTTCATTCTTGAACACTAGATCAGCTTAGCAAGTTTTCATAATCCAAAATAATCTTTATGTTGCACCGCGATTCAGCACGCAAATTTATTGACTTTCTGAAATAAGTCAGAATTTCTGGCTCATATAACAAACATATGCACTGACCTTAAAACACACGCCAGAAACAGGAAAATGCATAAAGCTTCCAATTTAAAGGTAAGAAATATAAAACTGGCACATTTTTTCAGGTACTGATAGTCTGCTTCAGAAGGAAAATGTATTTACATGATGATGCCTTTAGAAAATCAAGACTCAAGCTGTTACTTGACTGCCGGCAGGTCATACAGTACACCTACACACACACACACCAAGCAGAAGTTAGAGCATAAACCTTCATAGCCTGCTTCTGGTGTTGTCTTCATTTATTCATCATTCCAATATGCCACACACTACTTCCTTTTGTTTTAGTTGATCTAATCACAGTGTAGCTACTGAACCATTATGTCGAGAGGATAGGCAGATGGTGCAGGCCCTAATGAAATGTTGCTGAATATTAAGCTGTTTCCATGCTGCGGTCTTGAGGTATATTATCCAACATGAAATTCTCGTCATATCCACAATGCACTGTGCAAAGAGAGACGCAAATCATTTCTGCAGTAAATCACCGAACTGCAACATTTACGCAACAAATGAGCTCATTTCCGTGAATGCCTGTGACAAGCCATTTTTGAAATTATATTTTGTTTGTTTGTTCTGTGTGCTCATCCAGTAAATCAATCACCTTTGCATTTCTCTTCAAGCGACAGTAGACATCACAGCTCTAGCCGGCGTGCTGACTTAAACAGTAAAAGAATAATCACACAGGTTGCAAGTCTCGGTGCTTTAAGGACCAGACGAGGTAGCAGATCGGAGCATGATTGGACACTGATTTATGTTACTTTATTTCAGACATTGAAAATCTGTGCAACTCTCCATGTAAAATATTTATGCATGTGTCCATTGTGCCTGTCTGGCTCGTCTACAAAGGAGCATATCATTAGTGTCCCCTCACTGTAAAAGGATTTAGAGAGTTTTTGTAAAGTGGAGTGGACCAAACTCCCTCCTGAGATGTGTGCAAACCTGGTGACCAACTACAAGAAACGTGCTGTGGTTGTCAACGAGGGTTTCCCACCGAGTACTAAATCATGTTCTTCTTGGGGATCAGATACTTATTTCACTAAATGGCATGAAAATGAATGCATAACTTTTATGTAATGTGTGTTTTTCTTGACTTTTGGTTGATATTCTGTGTCTTTTGAAAATGAAGCTACCATAAAATTGAAGATGGTTCATTTTAAAGTTACACCTTCGGCAGGGGCTGAATTATTTCCCCCCTTCTTATCTTACTTTATGTGACATTTAAAATAAAATATTTACACCCATGTCCTTTGGGATAATCTGCTTGCCTGTCTGCCTCGTCCACTTAGAGTGCATCATTTGTGTCTCCTAGCTGTAAAGCTCCACACTTCCTCAGTCCCAGTGGAGCTTTTCTTTCACAGGCATTTTCTGTATGATTTGTTTCATTCGCCACACAGTACCAAGCACTTACCCACTCACACACCCTCACCACTAATGATATCGAAAGCCACTGACTTTGTCTGCTTCATGATTAATTCATATTTTTGCAAAACAAGTACTTATATTCTGACTTTTTCCTCCATCTCACTCGTCTTGTCATGTCACTTCCGAGCTGTCTCAGGCAAAGTTAACTGTTACAATTGTGACCAACCACAATTAAACAATTAGCAGTACATAAATCATATGGTTTAAATGTCCACCGAAGCTCTGACTACACTGGAGACAGCAAACACGTAGTAAGAAATCCTTTTTTCTTTGATTCCTTTCATATGAATCCCCTGAGCATTATCTGCTAAGAAGAAAACCTTTTGCAAACACACACAGAAAAGGGAAGCAGATTTTAAGCTACGAGGTCTACTGAACCATGAAAACTGCTTGCTTGCAGAAATTAATAATTCCAACCTGTATGCAACGAGGATCCCAAAGCACCTCCAACATGATCATTATTATACCCCTTTAATTAGATTTTTTTCTCATAATGTGGATGGTCTTAGAAATAATCTGCACTCAGTTGGGACTCAGGACATGTCTGAACACCTGCACCTTCCATTAAAGTGTGTTTGTCTCATTTGTTTTCATAAGTACAGTTAATGCTGGCTTTAGTGTAAGTGCAAATGCCTGCTTGGCTGAGTTGACAAACCAGCAAAAAGAAATTTCACCAGTCAAGTCGCAGACTATACTTGTGAAGAATGTGATTCAAATAAAAGGTTAACTTCACAAAAGAGCAGAGGTATTGAAGCAGATAAAAACATCAGCAGCATTGTTTAATTAAACATCCTTATGGACAGACTTAATCTGATGTATGACTCAAGCAGAAAACCATGCATATGTGGTTATCTTTGAATCTTGCCCTGACATGATTTTCTTGCTGGTCATGTAGGGGTATTGCAGTCTGGGACATTTAAGCATCCAAGTCTTTCTTCTCAGCCATATTCACTGAGGTAGTGTCTCATTTCCCAAACTGCACGTCCTCAACTCCTCTCCTTGGGCGGTAGTCCCTCCCATCAGAGCTGAGAGTGGAGAAGGCGAGTAAACAGGCCTCGGAGCGATCACGTTCAAGCAACCTCAACTAAATAAGACATCTGGCACAGAGTAACAAGATATAACTTTTGAATCGCACTCACACAGGAAGGGTTTGATTATATTAAACAACAAAAATAATGCCTCCTCTCTCCTTTGTCCCCTGTATTTGTTTTTTTAAGGACTTAAAGCATCATTCAGCGTTTTGTGTTTGACTTCCGGGTCACAGGCAGGAGGACAGAGGAAGGTTTTGTTGTGTGATTGTGTCCCCTGCTCTCTCCCTGACTCAGATGCAATCCCTTGTGTCCTGTGGAGCCAGTGTACAGCTGTCTCCACTTGGCAGTCAGCACTGGCTACTGCACTGAAGAGAGGACTTGGCTAGCCCAGTGCTGGACCAGCTTGGCAGTGTTATATCAGTGAGTGGTTCTGTTGTGTCTCTTGTTGAAAGGAGAGTGTACTTTACATTTAATGATCGCACTTGACTTTTTCCAACTTTCCAGATTTGCCGCTGACTTTCTTTTGTTTCAGACTTTTGGCACAGAGGATTCAGCATCTCTTTAATTTGAATGTTTTAATAGCATTCGCCTTGTTTCCCTCCCAGACCCCCAGCCCTTTTTTGTGGAGTGCAGCATCCGCTGAATACTACCTGTTGCCATGACCTTGTCCTTCATAGAGTTTGGCTAAATGTAGATGGAAACACACCTACCTCCTTCTGCCAGCATTTTTTACATTTCAAATTTGCATTTAAAGGTAGATTTCAGTTTTAAGTTGATGTCTCTTCAGGATAGATATTTTTGCTGTTAAATGAAACACGCTGAAATAAAAATGGAATTCATGATTTACTCTTTTGTATTGATGAATTTAATATCATGAATCCTTGGAGCTTTATTTGCAAATAACCTCTGCACATAGCGACAAATAACTGATGCATATTTCAAACCATGAACCACTGAGTGAGAAAAATATTTTTCTGGTGCAGATAAATTTTAGATTCCATGTTGCACTGGTCCCAAAACAGCAGATAATTATTTTTTAAAAATGTTTAATTTTCTCTTGTTTCAAGAAAGACATCTGCATTAAGTTAAATGACACGTTTGAGCACCTGTCATTGTCGTTAATAATTAAAGTGAAATCTTTAATCAGCACAGACATTTTTCCAATGAGCTGTGCACTCAAACTTTCAAATGCATATTCAGGGAAATTTGCACTTGGCTTTTTCGTGATCCCCATTTGAGCATTTGATGAAATTTTACAGGATAGACGAAAGAGATGTTTAATAACATAGCTGATGTTTATCTCCCTCCTGTCCATATGAGTCACATCTCCTATGCATCATTATCTTCTTCTAGTCTTTGTCCATTTACCAAGAATCATAAATACAAACTTGCACATGGAAGCTTACCTATGTAGAAGTTGGTTGCTGTCCTCATCTGTCTGTGTTTTGAAATGACATAAATGACCAGAGAGTTGCCCACCAGTCCGACCAGCATGATGAGAGAGAAGAACAGAGGGACCAGCCAGGCATCCGTGAAGAAAGGATGCTTGTCTCCTTCCTCCTCCTCCTCATCCTCGTGTCTTCCTAGAGAGAAGTTTGTTCCGGATCCATTGATCCAGACCTGCTCGGTGGAGTTCCACAGCTCCTCGGAGGAGTACATCGTGACAGGAGAGGGGGAATAATTGACGGACGCGAGCGGGTAAGTGAGCAGGTTGTATGAGGTCTAGAACCAATTTGAAGAGAGAGAGTGTGCAGTATGCAGTCCTCTCTGCCCTCAGGCAAAGAAAATGAGAGAAAAGCAAATAATAAGGAGGGAAAAAGTCTGGCAGGAAGACTGCATGAGAGAAAAGTTGAGCAGTGAAAGGTATATGGGGTGGCAGATTGTAGGAAAAACAACAGATATGAGATGAGGCAAAATTGAAGTGAATAGCAAGCAGTTTAATCAAAGTGAAAGGGTAGCAAGGTAAATAAAAGGTGGAGGGATGCAATTCAGGAGAAAAGGGGGTCGGGCAAGATGGAAAAAGACTTCTTAAGCTGCTCAAGTGTCGGACTCAAAGTAGGATAGAGAAATTATGTCAACAGGTCATAAAAAAATAGGAGGTGAGCAGGAGTGGATAAAGGGCTTCTTTTCTTTGAAGCTTGTTGGATGAAAACTGCCACTGCCAACACCG